CAAACTACATAGAATTTTCATTAAATGAACATAGTTTTGAAATGTTTTAACAACATGAAAAATAACGTATATTTGTTTTAGACGACAGACGTTGAATTCTTTTTTTCTAACATCATAGATTTTTGTTTTGTGTTTTTTTTTGTGCTAAAACGTAGCAGTCACAGGTGTAACAGGAACATTAAAGAAAAAAACGAAGCACAAAATAAGAAAAATGTAACAAAAAAAAAAGAAAAAGAACATCATCATTATATCTTGCGCACAAAAAAGTCATTTGAACGTATTAAATTAACCTTGACGAATACCAATAATACCGGCATCAATTAATTTTTGAATTTTTTGTGCAATTGCAGGATTTCGTAAATGATCTCGTAGTGCTTGTGGTTCATTTTGCATTTGTTCAAGAATTAAACGCATACCAGGATCACCAAGAATTTGTTGAATTTCAGGATCATTAGCTGCACGTTTACGAACTTCTTCAGGATCATCACTTGATTTCAATGAACATTGTCGATAACCATCAATAGCTTCCTAAAAAAAATAAAAATATATAGTATTGGATTTTAAAGATTATTTTTATTAATTAAAATATTTTACTTGACAATTAGGATCAATTTCAAGAGCTTTACCAAATGTAGCCATTGCTTGACCTAAATCTTTCATAGCCATTAAAGCATGACCTTTACGAAGATAACATTTAACTAAAATTGAATTGTTTAGTTTTTTTTTAATTTAGTTTTCTTTTGTTTTAACTTACGAAAATTTGGTTCAAGTTTAATACCTTCTTCACTATCTTTTAATGCTAATTTAAATTCCATTAATTTTGTATAACAAGCTGCTCGATTTGAATAAAGTTTAGCATCATTTGGATTTCGTTTAATAGCTTCACTATGGAAATAAAATTATTTAAAATATTAATTTTTAATCAAACTAAAAAAAAAACAAAAGAAATTAATTTACTTACGTATAATGTTTAAGTGCAGTTGGATAATCAGCTTTTTGAAAATATTCATTACCTTTATTTTTTTCTTCTTCAGCTAATTCAGGATTAACATAAGCTAATTGTTCTTGTTCTTTAACTAATTTTTCAATTTCTTGTTTTTTCTTTAATATTTCTGGATTTCGATGTTCTGATAATGAATGATTATAAAATTTTATAGCAGTCACATAATCTTTTTCTTGAGTTTTAACATTACCCATACGAGCATAAGCTCTGAAAAGAAGAAATTTACATATTGTATTATTGCCAAGGCAGTGAATGAGATATTCATATAGAAATAGTCAGGATTTTAAACTATGTAAGGGTATATTTTCGAATCTCAGTCACTGTGAATCTTAACTATCTGGACTAATGGCGAAACCAGGATTTTAACGGTGGAGGGGCTCAGCTGGTCGAACTCTAAGTCGGTGGTGGGACTCGTAAAAGTGTTTAGCTGACGCGGCTTCGCTTGGTGGTGGAGCTTAGCCCCACCTGGCGACCTCCTGATTACGTCACTAATCTGGATCCCGTATCCTTCTTGATTTTGGTGAGACCAGTCTGACGTTTCGATATTAGATTTATGAATTTCATTTGAAGGAAAAAGCAGAATTTATACTACTTTGAAAACCTTTTCTTGCAAATGATCCTGTCATTCTGTTGGTGATTTCTTGAGTTCGTCACTGATTTCTATGTGTACCGATGATATAATATATGATTAATACATTATAGATCTCAAGAGTATCATTGAGTATTTCTCAATTCTTTAGCGATGGGAAACAAGCAGGGCACTGATTACACTAATATCAGTGTTCGCTGTAGTATTAAGATACCTAATCCTATCAAAATATATCCTCTTTTTTTCTTTAGTACATGTTAAAACACTTAAGAAAATACTGAGGGCACGCCGCCCTCGATGAGATCCTATGATTCAACATTAATCAAGTGAATAATATTAATTTACTTTGCAATTAATTTATAATCTGCTTTATTTTCACGTCCAACTTCAATAGCTTTGTTACATTCTTTTAAACAATCTTCCCATCGTTGTTGTTCGTAATAAACAGCTAAAACGATAATAATGTTGATTTTAAATATAAGAACAAAAAAAAATTTTCAACTAACCAGCTCTATTTGTATAATAAGTCATATTAATAGGATCAAGTTCAGTTGCTTTATTATAATGATTTAATGCTGTTTCAAAATCTTTTTTTTTATATGCTTCATTTCCTTTTTCTTTTTCTATTTCAGCCTAATAAATTTAAACATTTACTTTAAAAACAAAACAAAAAAAAAATCAAAATAAAATTTCTTACTGGATTTTGTTCCATTGTTGAAGTTTTAGTTTGTTCATTTGATTTATTTGTAGTTGTTGTATGAGATGTTGTAGGTTTTGTTGTTGAAGTATTTGTTTCTTTTTTTGTTGAATTTGATGGACTTTCAGTTTCCATTTTTGAATTGAGATCATTTTCATCTCCAACTTCAAATCCAAGTACAATACCAAGTAATTTCATTATTTTTGGATTACTTAAAAGTCTGAAAAAAAACCAAAATTTTAATAATAATATAAATTCAATAAAAATAAAATTACGATGGATTATTTGGATTTTGTTGCATCATTTTCATAAGCATAGCTGTTTCAGGATCTTTTAAAAGTTCTCGAGCTCTTGGATTTGTCATAAGTTGTGTTAAAAATTGTGGATCATTAAAAAAATTTAATCCACCAGCCGCTGCACCACCACTCATATCTTTTTGTGCTGTTTCAAGATCAGCTAATAATTGTTGATTATTTGGATCAATTTTAAGACCTTCTTCATAAACTTTAATTGCTTCATCATATCGTTTAAGAAATGATAATGCTGCACCTTTTCGTGAATAACCCTATGATAAATAAAACAAAAGAAAAACTTACAAAAACCTCTTTTTTTTCTTTTTTGCAATCGAACTTTAATGAAATCCGGTTTTAGTGTAACACATTTTTCTGCATCTTTTAATGCATCTTCATATTTATTAGATTTGGCATATGCAGCTGATCGATTACTATAAAGAACATGATTTTTATCATCAAGTGCTATAGCTTGAGTATATAAATTAATTGCTTCATCATTTTTGCCAGCGGCAAATGCAGCATTTGCTTTTGTTTTAAGTTCTTCGACCTAAAATATATCTAGTCAAGGTTGAGAGAAAAACAAAAAAAAAAGAAATCATCTTAAAATTAAGAACATTACCTGTGAAGCCATTTGATATATATGATGACTAATGTTGTTAGAAAAAAAAATCTATAAAAAAACAAACTTTTTATTTATATTTATTCGAATAATCGAGATTTTTCTAGAAAATTCAACAAATTCCAGTTTTTTCCAATAATACGAATGATTCGATATTATTCTCCTCCATATATATAATTTTTTTTTATTATTTTAATTCTAGCGACAATGCATTGCCCATTTATGAATTTTAGACAAATAAAAAAAAAAAAGGATGATTACCATAACAACAAACATGTATATGGTAGAAGCCAAAAAAAACTTTCTATGTTTGTTTTTGACAAATAAGACGATTCACTTGTCATTGTTCGACTTCTATTAAGTATTATAAAAAAAAAAAAAAAAGAAATAAAATCAAAAAAAAAAACAAAATATTTATGTATGATTTATATTCTTTAAGCAAGTACTCTATCATTTTTATTTAATTTATACATATATTACAAATTAATTTTACAATTGAATAGTCAAATAGAATAGAACTAATTGATCCGACTTTTTTTTATAGTCAATCAGGTTTGTTAAAAAATGTAGGAATGTAAAGAAAATTGTTGACGAGTCACTTACAAAGATGAAATTTTTTTTTTTCCTATGTTAAGACACTCAAGACTATTATTATGAATAACTCAGTTCGGTTTCATGTATACAACTTAACGAGCCGATCATACCAGAAAATAACTAAGTCTCGATTATCTAAATGAAACAAAATGCTAATGAGGAAAGTCATTCAGGTGTTTAATCACTTTTGAGTCGAAACGATGTATATCATATAAGTTATGAATAGTATAAAAATAGTTCATGGTCATAGTTTGTTGCTACGAAAATAGTGTACTTTTATGGTATCTTTTCAATAGATGTTATGTCCTTCATCAAGAATACTAGAAAAATTAATTTTTGAATTTTTACTTGAAATTTTGTATAGAGACAAGCCTTAACAAGCGTAATTTTTTATATTTTTTCATATGCTTCTATCGTAAAATAAAAATATCAAATCTCCTTGTTTATCTGTGTTATATAAAAAGATAAAAACATGCAATTATCATAGTTGTATCTTAGCATAGAAACAATGACAAGATTTGACATTTTCATAAGAAACTAGTCTTATGTAAGATCTATCTCTATAAAAAGTTTTAAGTCAAAATTCAAAACTTATTTGTTCTGTTATTTCTCAGAAGAATTACGCCATTGATTTAATATATACCATAAAAGTGCAATAGTTTCATAGTCATAAACTAAAGGCATAAATAATTTTCAGAGTATTCATAACTCATTTGAATCTACATAGTCTTAATTCAAAATCGATTGAACATTCGGAAGACTTTCCTCATGTGTTGTTCTTACAAGATAATAAACTTAAATGCGATCAGTAACTCTCCGATATCGATACATGTTTAGACACATTATAGTTAAATCTATCAAAAAGAAAATTTTCTCAACTCCTTGATAATTATTTATATTTGATTAGCACATAAAAATTTTTATGTTTCTATATTTTAAAGTGAACTGATTGACTTTTATGACAAGTCAACTACGTCATATACATATGATGTCAGAAATCATTTTTTTTTTGCAAAATATATTAATATTTTAATCTAGAATAGAATTGTAATATGAAATTAAATATTTAAATCTGAATTTCTTTATTCTTCATTTTTGTTTTAGATCTTATTTTTTATTTTGTTAGCATTATCTTGGTGCCTTATTTTTGTTTCTTTTTTTTGCCTTTATTTTCTCTTATTTATGTATTATGTGAATTAATAATAATGCCAATAGCTAGAGATCGTGTTGAACAATTACAAGTACAAAAATTAATTTATGCCGTACGAACAGAAGATATTGAACAAGTACAAAAATTATGTGAAAAAGGTGTTGAACATCTTGTAAATTATAATGATCCACAAAATGGAATGACTGCATTGATGTAAATCTATATATAAAATTAGAATAATCTTGTTTTTTTTTCTTTCTTTTATCTAGAGCGGCTGTAACACAAAATAAGGAAAAAATGATACAATTTTTATTACAACTTGGTGCTCATCCAGATGTGATTGATTTTTCTGGTCGTACAGCTGTTATGCATGCTGCTGAATATGGTCATATAAATGCTTTACAATTATTACGTGATGCTAAAGCTAATCCAAAAATTCAAGATCTTGAAGGACGAGGTTTGAATATTTTATTTCAAAAAAAAAAAAAACAAATACAATTTTAAATTAAATTTATATATCTTTAGATGCAATTTATTATTGTTTTACGGAATCAACACAACGTCATAAAGCATGTTTAAAATTATTAATTGAAATGGGTGCTGATGTTAATAATCGTGCACGTAATGGTATGCCAAATTTAGTACATGCTTGTTTAAAATCTGATGAACAAGAAGATTTTTGTATTGATCTTATTCGAGCTGGAGCTAATGTTCAACTTGTTGATGAAGTAAAAAAAAACTAATTAATTTTTATTAAAAAACCAAAAAAAGTTTTTTTTTAATGTATAGAAAACAAAACGTACAGCTTTACATAATGCTTGTTTATCAGGAAATGCAAAAGTTGTACGAGAACTTTTACGTGCAAAAGCTGATCCAAATGCTTTAGATCATAAACAATCAACACCTGCTCATGAAGCAGCAAAAGGTGGTCATTTTGAGGTTATTTAATATAAATTTTTCAATTGTTGAATTTTTTCTATAATTTAATTATATTCTTGTTTTATTAGGCTATTCAAGTTTTATCGGCTTATGGTGCTAAATTTGATGTATATGATGTACTTGGTAATAATCCAATTCATTATGGTGCATCATCAAATGCTGGTACTGCAATTCGATTTTTGGGTCAACGAGGTATAAAAGAAGTTTCATAAATTTTTTTTTTAGTTTTGTTTATAATTATAAATATATTTATTCTTTTGTTCTAGGTTGTAATCCAAAAACTAAAAATCTCGAAGGACTTATACCAAAAAAGATTGCCGATCAAAATAAAGCAAAAGATGCAAAAAAAAATATGCGAAAAGCAGAAAAAGGTTACAATGATATGACAGCAAATTTACGTCCAGGTAAATCTATTTTATATGAAAGAAACATTAGTATGTGTTTTTTTTTTAAAGAAAAGTCTTGTTTCATATAAGGAACACACACACGTTTAGTTACCATAGTCATATCATTCTATGTAGTAAAAATCACAATTTATTTATGACTTTTTTATAACTCATAAATTCATACTCTCTATTCAAACATTCTCCGACAGTTGTATAACGATTATTATCAATTTTTATATGCAATAAGTTTCATGTACATAATATATTGCACGATATTTATCAATATCACTTATTGTATTGTTTAGTTTTTTTTTATTGATGATCATTAACTTAATGTTACATGGTTTTATGAAGTATTTTAATTTTTATTGATTTACAAAGATTAAAAATGTACTTTCTTATCTTCACTTTAGAACATAAGAGAAATATATCTTACATATAAATCTTATATTTTAACGTTTTGAATAGTTTTTGCTATGCAAATAAAATAATTCATATGTACAGAAGATAATGCTTTGTCTTCTATTTTTTTTTGAAAATAATCACTTTAATATTTGAATATCAAATAAAATTCTTTATTCTAAGCACTCGAATTGTTTTCAGGATAGAAAATCCTATGTGATAACTGTGTTGATACATTACAGTCCATATCGAGTTTAGTTATGCGATAAATTTTTATTAGTAAAATATATTTTGACATTGTTCTATTCTTGCCCAGATCGAAGATTCCGATCACCGGATCCCGCAGAATCTTGCAGGAAAACGCCGGAACAGGATGGCAGTATTCCTGTCGGATTTTTTCGGGTGACTTCCGGACAACTTTCTGCAGGAAACGTGAGGAATTTGACCGGAAAAAATCCGAAAATTTTCCGGCCGGAATACTGCTACCCTGTTCCGGCGACTTTCGCTGTTTTCCTGGCGGAATCGGCCCGTACTTGTCGACTTGGGTGATTATTCCTTTCTAATCAAAACAAAAAAAACATCGAATTTGAGTAGAAATGACTCTCTACAATCGTTTCGCGACTCCTCAGTTGGAAAACTTCTAATAATTTTTTCAAATCTATATTTTTTTTTGGTAAATATTTAGATGAATTTCGTGATTGGAAATTAATGCTTTATGATTATGTATATGAAAATCAAGAACAACTTGAAAAATTATTTGAAGAACTTGATGTTGCTGAACCAAAAACGGGTGTTATACCAACAGATGGTTTTAAAAAAATTGTTGAAGATGAAACTTATCTTTCATTTCTTAAACCAGATGATATTAAAGATATTTGTGAAAAACATGAAAAAGAACGAAATGAATTTGATTATAAAGCATTTTTAACTGGAAAAAAATATTTAACAAAACCTTATTTAATGGCTGCATTTGCAGGAAAAAAGAAAAAAAAGAAGAAACCAAAAAAAGCCAAAAAACAAAAAGGTGCTTTACCAAGTAAGTTATTATTTAATGAGAAAAAACTTTTTCTTTAAATAAATATAAAATAACTTTTTTTTTTTTTTCTTTCATAGTTGCTATTCAAGATGAAGGTCCTCGAACAGCAAATGGTAATCCACCAATAATTTATGCACCACAACATATTCATCATACAGATAATACAAGATTTTCAAGAGATAATTTACCGAAAAATCCATTAGAAGATGATTCACCATGGTATTTAGATAAACCTGATAAAGGTTATGTTAATTTATGTGATGCTGGTTAGATAAAAAGAAAATTCTATTAATAATGTATAATATTTTTTCTTTTTGTCTGTTACTAGCATATCGAGGTGATTTACAAACATTATTGGATGCATTTAAACGAGGCACATCAGTAGATATAACAGACAAATTTATGAAAACACCATTAATGGTGGGTAAGTAATATTTCTTCTTCTTCGTAATCAAAAAATAAAACCTATTATTAATTCTAGCATGCGCTCATGGTGATTTAAAAACAGTTCAATTTCTTCTCACATGCGGGTAAATTACAACAATAATAAAAAAAGAAATTTTTCAGTCTTCCTTTTTTCTTTTTCTTCAATCATTTATATTTAGAGCTGATGTTAATAAAATAGATAATTTTAAATGGACACCACTTCATCATGCTGCACATAGTGGTATTCTTGATGTTGTTCAAGCCATTGTCGAAGCTGGTGGATCAATAAATGCTGAATCAATAACAAAAGCAACACCATTAATGCGTGCTATTGAATGTTCATCATTTCCAGTTTGCGAATATCTTATTAATAAAGGTGCTAAAGTTACACATGAAAATATATCCGGTTTAGAACCATTAACAGTTGCTGCTGAATTTGCTGATCCACGTATATATCATTTAATTAATGAAAAAGTTAATGCTACCGGTGGTAATAAACCTAAAAGTGGTACAAGAAAAAAAAGTGGATCAGCATCAGCAAAGAAACGACAACACTCAGCAGCAAAAACTACCAAACCAGATGCAGTAATTAAATTTATATAATAAAAAAAAAAACAAAATCAATCATACATTTTCATCTTATGTTTGTTTTTTTCTTGTTTAGCAAGCAACAACTGTTCAACAAACAGCAACTACTCAACAACCACGACGTGGTTCTTTATTACGTGCTGCTGCTGAATTAGCTAAATCATTTGAAAATACAGAATCAATTGCTTTTCATCCAAAAACAAAATGGACAGATTTACCAACAACAAAAGAACTTATGCAAGAAAAAGCTGTTGTACGTGATCGTCTTGGTTGGGAAGTTGATTTTAATGATTTTAAAATGCCATTTATGACAAATGTTAGTAAACGATTAGAACAAATGACATTACCTGAAGTTAAAATATAAGGAAAATATGTGCCTTGATTTAAAACTTTTTACTATTTGTGAATGTGAAATGATTTTGTATTTCTTTTTTTTTTTGTAAGACATTATTTTTTCTTTTTCTTTTTCTTTTGAACCCTTTAGTGCATTCTATTGTCGAGCTTTGGTTCTTATTTGTCCAAAATAAAATTTTTTGTCTAAAATTCAACAAAATTTGATGATCTGCCAACATGATTTGCATTTATATAATCGACCTTGAGATTGTTCAAGGAAAAACTGAGCAAATATTTAAATTTAGACTTCCGCAATCGGATCAGTTCCGGTGTCGGACATGAATAAAAAATATATTACATCCATTTCCAGGTATACCATCATACCTGGTAAATTGTAGAAGTAGACACTAAGTAAATCATGAATCACTTGCTTTTTTTTTTGTTGATGTTCTTTTTATGGAATCAATTACATAATATGCTTTTTCATATAAAATGAAAGTTTGAAAATTGTACTGTGATTGTGAAAGTATCTATCGAATATCAATTATCTTAAGTCAGAGTTCACTAATGAAGAGTCAAGCCTATGCAAGACACTAGTTCAAGTATAGATAAACAATCGAGGTGAAAAATATGATTTGAAATAAAAAATAAAATTTTTTTTGAATTATATATTTGTTTTAATTTGTTGATAAACGATATTGAGTCATTAACTTAATAAATCTAATTAATTCAAACTTGTTCTTTAACCTCTTTGAATCTACCTTGTTGATTTTTATAGATACGTTGTGTGTTGATATGACGTTACGATTGTTTTTAATATTTATAATATTTGAATTTTATGTAAAGAAGGAAAAAAAAGCACTGTTTACTTTTAGATCTTATAACTTCAATATAACAATGAATCACTTCCAGGTGATCTTCGATTTCATAAGAATAAATAATAATATTGCAAATAATTGCATATAAGAAAGTATTCAAAAAAAATGTGCATAAATAGGAATTACACAGTCATTTGCTTTTTTTAGACAAACATTATTATGGCATGCGCGAAAAACACAAAATGAAGTTTTCATTCATAGGTTTTATCGTTTAACAGAAGATCGTTATTGTAAATATAGAGATAGAGGTGAAGAACTATCTTGAATATCCTGTTTGAATAACTATAAGTCCTTGATTTTTAAAGAATATTGCAAATAACTTGTTAAAGCATTACACAAATTCAATCAACAGAGACAAGATGAACCATCATCAGTTGAAGATATTATTGATCCAGATCTATTAGTTTGATTGTGATGTATGGATTGAACGTCGTATAAACGAATGTCAAAATTTATATAAACACAACAGCTATTCCACAGTTAGAAAGAACATCTGAAAATGAACAAATCTATACAGACACCGCACAAATTTTCGAACGAATGTTACCAGCATTTCAAAAGAAAGAAATAATTGAACAATTAGCTCAACTAGAAAATACTCTTCAAGTTATTATAAAAGCTTAAAGTTATAATTTGAAAGCAGGTTCATGAGAAAACTTTTTATGTTTTCTACTTTAATAGATAATATTTATTCAAATTTTAGGTATGAAATATACTGTTCGATGGTATACTGAAAGTAGTACAGAAAATATTATCGCAACTGGTGTCTATTATGTCCATGTCGATCATGAATTGAAAGATGGTGCACTAAAATTTTGTCCTAGACATGCACTACAACCATAGTATAAAATTCCTACTGATAAAGTACTAGTGCGGCTATCGTCTTTTCCAATAAAATTTCTCATCGATTTCGTCAAATTCATAACTTAACACAAAAAAAAAAGATCTTCGTCGTACATTTCTGAACTTGTTTATTGTTGATCCTCATAGACCTATTGATCTTCATAGGTATTCATCTCGTGTACTTTTAAATGAAGTAAGTGACGGTTGTTTAATGATAGGACCTATTCTTAATAAAATTATTCAATATCTTTGTCCAAATGTATGGTACAAAATTGAAGATGCAAAAAGAATTTCGTAGCCAAGTTCGAAAATTAATGATCAAAGAAGAAAGTGGATGAGGATGGATTCTCAATGGGGTAATTGTGATACTGTTGAATTTGTTCCAGCTCATTGTTGGTACACATATAAAGATGAATGTAGAAAATTACATCATAACACTGAATCCGAATAAGACATTATCAATCATCAAACAACAAATATTACTTTTTACAAAATATAAAATATATTTATCACATATTCTTATAAACCTGATCTTTTTCCTACACTAAAGAAACTATATCTATGAATAATAAAGATAAGATTTGTACTTAAAATGCAAAAGAAGTATTAAAGTATAATGTAGATAATTGGAACTAAAGCCCTTTATAGGTTTATGATCAGAGAAGATTCCTCAATGCTTTTGATCTTCTAAACTGAAGTCTATGTTGCAGAATATCTTAATCTATAATATATAAGTAGATCACTAGTGTTTCATGTTGTAATCCTACATAGATCGTACTATAACAACTTCGTTTTCTCAATTGATCATTTATTAACGATGATGACCTTGATTCTAAAAAAGCTACATAGACAAAAAGAATCAGTTTAGTAATTAATTAAAAAATGTATTCATAAAATACTAATCAGATCTATTATAATTTTACAAAAAATACTGATGATTGTGAAAATAAATTAATAATATGTTAGCGACATCGTTAGAAATAATCTCATCGAAAAGAACTACTGAAAATAAGAAGTTTCAACTTCTTCATACTTAAATTACAGAAAAAAAAACTTAGTCTTATTTCTTAATTGATAAAATGCTACTTAATGATTATTAAAGATTTTTTAATTTTCTTTCTATAGAGTACATGATATAAAATTTATCCAATGAATAACTCACACATCAAACTTGATATACTGTTCGTTTATAGTTTTTTTTGATGCTCTACTCTATGTTTACAAAGTTTTTCTCGAACATGTTTGAAGAATATTTTATGTATTTATTAGTCACTAAAGAAAATTAAATGTAATTAGTTAGAATCAAAATTTCATATTCTCTTTCAGTAGGTATTAAGTACTTTTCTGATTTGAAATTATTTTATTGAGAACAAATCTTGAATAACAGTCAAAACCAATGTTTGTACAAAACATTAGCTTAAAGCGTATTGATAAATGTGTTTGCTCATATTTTAGAGATCTTAGTATCATTAAAGAACCTGAAAAGCAGTCAATTAGAACCAAAATTCGATTCTCTTTACAAACACATGTTCATCATTTTTTTTTTATCAACGTTTTTTGAACAATTATTGTTATTATGAAAAACAAATCATTTTTTTTGAATTTTCTCTACAATCTTGTGTATAAAAAAGATTTTCATCAAATACAAAAACTGTACTACACAGGAACAATTTTATATAGATACCGTTTTTGGTCTCCCTATGATTCTTCTCAATGGATTAAAATGTAGGTGAAAATTGATAAGAGACGTTGTAAGAAGACTTTTTATACATTGATTATAGAAAAATTATCCATCTGATTCAAACCAGACAAAGATTGCCGACAAACCATCTCTAGACCGTTCGGTATAATATGCGCTGATATTTGAAAAGCAGTGAATCAGTCATATTTTTATGTTTTTTATTGCTAAAATACAAAAATAAAATGTTTTACTTTATGTTAACAACATTGTTTTTCATTCACTGCTGAAAAGTTCAACATATTTTTATTTGCTTGAATTTTTATCTGTATTGTTTGTAGATGATTTATAAAACATAGTGAAATAAATTTAAATAAAAGCTAAATATACTACAGTGCACCTCGATTGGTTTTTTCCCTTTTGTTTTCATCACTAGATTTCTTTTATTTATTAACTTCCTATATATACGAAGAAAGTCCAGAACGCGCGTTGCATCTTTCGATATATTTACGTTGAACAACAAATGTAGCTTGAAGGTTAAAAAAGTGTATTAGAAAAAATACGACATTTTTTTTTACTACTTGGTGTTCATAATATTGTAACATTGTTTAATCTTGCATATATCTTGGCTTAGATAAATGATAAAATCTTGAATTTTTTTCCAAAAAAGATGTGCCATGAAAAGCTCTATCAAGACTGCATGATTGAGTTCCTTCTTACTTGCTCTAGTGATTTTTCTTACGCTCAAAATGAACAAGCTACATTACAGTATCACTCTCATCATATTGCAAATGTTTGGAACATTTTTTGTTTTCTTACATCTCGACTTGAGAAAATGATAGAATATTGAATTTTTTTAAAACGATGCGCCATCGAAAGCTCTACAAAAGTTGTATGGATTAATTTCTATGACGAATCAGAAAAATCTTCCAAACATGTTCAATATGATGGGAAGTGACACTGTAATGTAGCTTATTCATTTTGAATATAAGAAAAACTATTAGAACAGATCCAGTCATGCAGTCTTGATAGAGCTTTTCACGCCACATCTTTTTCAGAAAAAAAATTCAAGATTTTATCATTTATCTAAGCCAAGATATATGCGAAATGAAAAATGTTACAATATTATGAGCACTCTGTATTGTAGAAAAAAAAATGCCGCATTTTTTTCTAATACACTTTATTAACCTTTCAAGCTACATTTGTTGTTCAACGTAAATATATCGAAAGATGTAACGCGCGTTCTGAACTTTCTTCCTATCTATAGGAAGTTAATAAATAAAAGAAGTCTCATGAAGAAAACAAAAAGCGGGAAAAACCAATTGAGATCCACTATAGTTAAATCTTAATTAAGAATAAATATTCAATATAATTTATCAAATATCTCAATGATCAACAAATTCACGACATCTATCAAATAAGTTTATGATTAGTTCAAATGTTTAATTAATCATATGCAATGGAAACAGTCAATGAAACAAAGAACTATTTCATCCGTTCTGTCTATTTCTTTTTTTGAACTCTCATCAAAAGTTCTTTTTTTCTTCTTTCTCTCGGTCTGATTCTCATCTTACGTATTTCGAATACTTTTCGTGTTTGTTCTTTTTTTTCAATCTGTTTTCTAATTCGACATCTGCATGTGCTCATGCTAGACGATAAACAATCATCCATAGTCCGTCCAAAAGCAGCTGTACCGCCTATGTTTACACCTGTTTTCACACCCAATTCACAATCATCATCAATAATGCAGAATACAAATCGTTTATCACAACAAACTCTTACTGAAATTGGTATTGCAATACGTAAACATGATCGAGAAGCAACACGTTTATTTGATTGTATTGGTCAAGTTAAAATTTTTTCATATCATTCAATTGAATTACGTTGGGAAAATTTACCAAATATTGAAGGTAATTTATGTGTCTATGAAAAACAAAAAATAATTCATAATAAAATATATCCATCATATGCATTTGCAATTATCAATGGAGATAAATATTTTATACAGCCAATTACTTCTGATATGGTACAACATGCTGACAAATTACGTTTATTCTATGAAGTTGCTCGTAATGATCGTCGTGAAGTTTTTTGTTTACATTTTTTAACTGAATCTGAATGTCTTCGACTAAATACATTTCTTACTCGTTGTATTCAAGCTCTACGAACCATTGAAGAACAACAACAACAGCAGCAGCAACAAGCTCGTACAATACCGTCTTCTGTTCCTATTGAACCTCAAACACAATTAAATGGACAAATACCAACAAATATATCTGTTCAACAACAAACACCAACAAATGTCTATCGACAACCACAACAACCAATTGTTGTAAGAAAAAGAAATTATTACTGCTTAAGTTATTTTTTTTTATTATATGATAGGAAAATATATATCAGTCTGACCTTTTTTTGTTTTGTCGAATGATTCATATAGAAATACTTTTTTTTTATTAGACAATTGAATAGTAGAATTTAGTATAAATACTTGAAATTTAAGAAAGGATGACAAAACATTCAACTATTGAATTCGTACTATCTCTCGAAAAACTTTAATAATGAAATATTCAAACAATAGATTTTAAGACGATGGACTCATATGTTCCTAAAACATGAATTCAAAAAGGCTTAGTGAACTGTTCGTTTAGAAAAAGAAGCTACGTTCATAAAATTAGTATTAGAGATTACGATTTTACAAACTGCAGAATTCCTTGTAGAGAGAAGGTGCTTAATATTTATGTCAAAATAAAAGGTAGATCGATAGTTTTCGATAGAAATAGCATAGAAGTCTGTAATTTTTACTACTCAAAAAAAAACATGAAATCAAACTCGTTTTATGCAAGATTTATAAGAATTTTCTCGACGTCTAACGTTTCAACCAACTGATCATGAAATATTGCGAAAACGATTAAATCACGGCAAATTTATTATGCTGAGTTGAATGATAATTTTGATTTTTAGATGATAAAATCTGACAAATAAGAGTCGTAGATCGAATGATCATAATAGAAATTTTTTTTTTTTCACCTCTCTTATATTTTTCAATCGATAGTAGTCTCCATTCGATATATGAAATTAATGAATTCATTATTTAAAACTATATTTGTTACTTTAATAAATATATACATAGTCTATTCTGTTTTATTATGGATATTTTAGTTACAAAATCCAACGACGCCTCAATTCGGATCATCTCGTGTTAACATTAATCAAACTCCAACTCGTTTTGCACCATTATCGAATACTACTGTTCAACCACAACAGCAGAATCAACTAATTAATTCTTATCCTTCTCAAATACCTATTGATGTTATGCATAAAAATTTATCACGTTCAACTCCTACTGTTCCATCAGCATCAGCTCTTGGTCAAATTGAAGTTCCTAAAACAATTGAACAAACTCCATTTCCTCCTTCACCTATTCCATTAACAAATGGAAATAATAATAATAATAATAATACTGAAGATCCAACATCATCACTTAAACGACTTCTTAATATTCGTGGTCAAAATCCATTAGAAAATCTTTCTCTTGATGATAGTTCAGTTTATACTAAACAACAAGCACAACAAAATCTACTTGATCTTATGCCACCATCAGCATTTGAACCAATAACAGCTACACCACCATCACCTGTTGTTGCTATTGGTGCCGAGCGTACAAAACATCGTTTATCAACTCAATTACCTTCAATGATGAATCGTGAACATTTTCGTAATGTTCTTATTCATCTTGTTCAAAATGATGATCATTTTCTTGATATTATTTATCAAGCATGTCTTACTCATCCTTCAACATCCCAATAAAATATTTGAACAAGAAAAAAAACAAAATAAACTTGCATGTGTATCCTTCTTTCCTTTTGTGTTTGTTTGTTTTTTTTTCTATTGTCTTGGTTTGTCATATGTACCTATATTCGTCTATTATATTTGTTTGTGATTACATTAAAAAAGACAAATTAACCTTTCATGATTAGCAATGGAAACAAAATTTAATCGTCTTTATTTCTTTTTCATTTGTTCAGATTTTAATATCACAAAAAATATTATCTATTAGTAAATAATCAATATATTTGAAAATTTAAACATCAAAAGTTTCCTACAAAAAAAGAAAAATTCATTGGTATTAATACAAGGTAAATTAGAAAATATTATTCGAAATTGTACAAAATAAATAAAAATTAATTTTTACTTAAAATTTTATTCAATGAAAAAAAAAAAAAAGTGAACACAAATAACTACGAAATCTTCTTTTTTTTTTGAACATTAACAAATTTTAATGTTAAGTTTAGTTTTCATTTGTATTAATTTTTTGTTTTATAAGTTGATCAGTTTGTTCACTTAATTCTTTTATTTGACCACCAAGACATGGTGGTGTACGATATTTTTCTTCTAATTTAAGTCCACGACGAAAACTATCATACCATAATGTTGGATTAGGTGTATATAAACTTAATGCATGAATTTTATGTTCTTTAACAATATCTTTAACTAAATCATTTAAACGTCGATGTCTTTCAATCATTGACATAGATTCAAATGCATGTGTTATAACAGTTAATTGTAAATGAGTTTCTTTTCCTGGTTTAAAACCATTATGTTTATAACTTTCATTAATAATTTCAACATGATATGGTTTTAAATAAGATTTTTCAATTGTTTCTTTAATTAATGTACATATAGGACCAGATTTTGTTGATGTTAAACGAATTTGAATTAATAATGGTTGAAATAATTTATTAGTAAACATTATGGAATATATTGAATAATAATAAAAAGAAATAAATTATATAGAAATGATTGATTGGTTTGTTTTTATTAAAAAATTCTATAGAATTTTAATAAAAAAAAAATTTTTATAAGATTTATAATATATTTTTTTTTTTTCGTTCGATTTATTTAATAGATATATGTTTAAATATATTTCTAATAGATGTCGCTAGATTCTATATAATTAGTCTTATTCGTCATAAGAAAACGAACGATGAAAAAAAAAATCAAGTTTGGATTCAGTAGAAATATGAACATTTTTGTTTTTAGTGATTATATAAAAATTAATATATTGAATTAAAAAATTTGATTATTTTAAAGAAAATTCTTTAATCATTATTTATATTGATGAATGAAATAAGAAATTTAACTATTAGATAAATGTAGATTGTTCCATTGTTTACCTTTGACTAGAAAATAATTATATTTTTCTAGATGAATTAAAAATTTATTTTTATTTCTATAAAATTTTTTTTTTTATTACTTAATCCAAATTGAACTTTTTTTAGATGACATTTCTCGAACGATATTTAATTGCAATTGATAAATGTTATGTACAAAGTTTAAATGATCCAGAAAATGAACCATTTAAATCAAAATATGAAGCAAGAAAAATATTTGAAGAATTACATCAAGAAAATTTTGATGAAGAATCAGATATTATGATAAAAGAATTTCAAACATTAGATTTAATTGAAGAAGATAATAAACTAAAATTTATAATAATAAAATCAAATGAACAAGTAAATGAACCATCTGGTAAAATATATTTAATTAAATAGTGTTATTTATTATTTTGAGAAAAAATATTATGTACAAAAGTTTAAACGAAAATGTATTTTTCTATAATAACAAGCATCTAACTGAAATTCAAATAGAGTGATTCGAATAGCCAATGACGAGCTCTATCAAATGCATCCTATACCAAAATTTCATAGATGATTTAAGGTAGTAAGGTTTCAAAACCGTATTGTTTAGGTCTCAGAAGACTTTACAATAATTTGTTTCTAATAGTATCAACTTAAAGAACACAAAATTCGGAAGAAAATGAAGGGTCGTCGCCTTTCCTTTCAAAATTTATAAGCATCACAAAAATACGATTTTTAGCGGTTTCTTGATAAATTTCACTTTTTTTCCAGTTTTTGTAATGCTTATAAATTTTGAAAGGAAAGGCGGCGACCCTTCATTTTCTTCCGAATTTTGTGTTCTTTAAGTTGATACTATTAGAAACGAATTATTGCAAAGTCTTCTAAGACCTGTAAAATACGGTTTTGAAACCTTACTACCTTAAATCATCTATGAAATTTTGGTATAGGATGCATTTGATAGAGCTCTTCATTGGCTATCCGAATCACTATTTGGATTTTAGTTAGATGCTAGAAAAAATCAAAAACGTTTAAACTTTTGTTTTTGACTGTAAATCACAGATAAACAAAATAATTAGATAGTTTAAGAAGATTTTTCTATTATAAATCTAATAGAAATTTACATATATATATTTATAGTATCAAAAAAACATCGTTATTTAATTAATTTATTATTGGATTATCATATTGGTATAATATATAGTGATACAGAAGAAAAAAGTGAAGGTGAATTACGTTTACGTCATATATTAACATCAATTGAACAAGCATTTAATCATTCATTAATATCTTCACTTGTATTAAATATATTTAATCAATTAATTGTTATTCGTACATCATATGAACAATATAATGATGCTATTGAAATAGCTAAACGTGCTGAAAATCTTTATAATCAAACATTATTAATTATACCATATATTTTACGTGAAATTATTTCTATTGATATATCAATACAAATAAATGAACGTCGTGAAGAATTTGAATATATATATACTCATACATTTTTTTATCTTGCACAAATTTATGGTAAACTTAATGATAAAGATCAATCAGCTAATTATTGTCGTTTAACACTTGAACGACAATTAGAAATGTTTCATAAATATACAAAAAAACATTTTGATCCATTAGATTGGGCAACAAATTGTGCTACACTATCACAATATTATATGACTAATCATGATTATGCTACAGCTCGATATTGTCTTATGTGTTCTGATAAAATGTTAGAAAATATTTCATCAAATGATTTATTATTAGAACGTATAGCAAGTATTAAACGATGTTGGATTAAATATGCAATTAATTTATTAAGTAAAATTATTTGAATTGATAAAATACTTTGATTAAATATGATCGAATCTATATAAAAGAACATCTTTTATCATATATCAGCACAATGACGAAAAGAAAACTTTCCCTCAACTGACTACAATATGGAAGATTAGACTAATCTGAGTGCTGTGAACATATTTTCAGAAACTAGAAAGAAACAAAAAAAATATTTATGTTTTTCATCTTTTTTGTGTACTCAAAAAAGTGAGTACACTATAGAATCGGTCAGTATGTCCGGCCGTCCCATCGCGATGAAATTTTCTACAGTTTCGTCTCATCAATATCTCGGTCAAGTTCGAAGATGAGAATGATTCGTCGAGCTATTGCTGAGTTATCGGAAAAATAGTGCGAACATTGATCTATCCTGCTTTTCGAAAAAAAAGCTTTTCCTCTCATAATCAAACATAACTCCAACTATTATATACCATTCTATAGGGAATTTCACGAGCTACAAAATGGTATATAAAACATTAAGAAACAAGAAGGCTAACGTCACCTATTGCAAAGATACTTAAATGGAAATTGCTTCTGTGTTTTTACTTTTTGAAGTACACATAATATTCGGATTTATATCCGAGCTTTTCACATTTATTTTTAAATTATTATTATATATACAAACACTTATATAAATAGACAACCATTTTTGGCGCGTTTTTTTTGAGTCATGCAACTTGTAATTCCTTTTTCCGTTTAAAAAAAAACGGGCTTTGGTAGGCATTGTATCCTGACATGCTCTTTCCAACAAAAAAAATTTATATATATAGAATGAACTTCGACTGAGAAATCTTGCTTGCCAAATGAGCTGTCTTCGGCCATTGTTTTGTGAATATTTCTGTCAAACATCATGATATAGGACTGAAAATTTTATTACAGCCTCAACATATTCTGAAAATTTCAACCGATTTGGTTACACTTAGGCTGAGATCAGTTTTTTAGGTTAGGGAGGCCTTAAAAAGTATATACTTTGCCAGTGAAATAAGAATCAGTGAAATTAAAAGCACTCGAAAATGTTTCGGACCTACCGACCGTTGAATATGTTCCTTCGTAAGTACAATTAATATCAATAGACGTAATAGTAGAATGTTTCTAATACTATTGTTATCATCTAAGAATATTACCCAAATGACTACGGGTCTATACACATAATCTATCAGTTATAAATATTTCTTCTATTCATTTGATTTATATTAAAATTATTGTTTTATCTATCGTATTCGTTTGTAGGTGATTCATCTGATCGTCTTCTTCAAGCTGCTGATCGTGATGTTAGTCCAAATGAAATTATTCGATCATCATCAATACCACAATTTCAATTTCAATTAACACTTTCAACACCACCAATAACATGTTCATATGTACTTGATTATGAACAAGCTCGACAAGTATTTTTATTTGCTATGAATAAAATAAATTCAGCAAAATCATATTATATACTTGATGGTTTTGTAACTGATCATGTTGAATTATGTCAAGATACAAGTCAATTATATAGTAAATTAATATTTTTTGAATCAAATATTGATCGTAAATGTAAAATGTATAAACGTCGTATTGATATATTAACAATATTATGTAAAGAAATAAGTGAAGAACATTATTTATATTTAATACGACAATTACTTTTTGAATTAGGTGAATGTTATTCAATGTTACTTGATCTTAAATTAGAACAAAAAGCTAATTTAAATTCAAATAAAAATGATGAAAAAATTTCAAATTTAATACAATCTGGTATAAAAACATTTGAACATTTTCTTTTAACAATGAATGATAAAAAAACAAATAAAAAACCAGATACATATGCTGATGAATATATTCGTTCAATATTATTAGCATATTTTTATATAGGAAGATTTCATTCAAAATCAATACATAATCGTCTTGAACATATTGAACAAAGTTTAAATCAATATAATATTATTGTTGATTATGTTGATAAACATCCAAATGTACTTGAATATATTGAACAAGAATATAATATATGTAAAGAAATGATTAATTTATTACCATTAAAAATTGAAAAATTACGACAAATTAAATAAAAAAAAAAAAGTTTTTTTTTTTTAATACAATATATGAATGATTATAATTCTCATTGAATACAAATATAATTTAGTTATTAAAATAAACAATGAACTTTTCTATTATATGTATTCTATATTGAAATTTCATATTAGGACAATTTTTTTTTTTTTTGTTGTAGATGTGATACAAATAAAATTTGAAATATTTTTCTCTAGACCGAAATTAAAATTACTTTTTGGTTCTATGACTCTCTAATGATTTTCTATATGTGTATTTTTTGTTTTTTGAACAGTAAAATTTAAAACATAAAAAAAAATTTTCTTTTGATATTTGTTTTTCATATTTCAATGAATTCTATTTATAGATTTTATCTTTAATTTTGTTATCTTTTCATATCTATATGGCTAATTCATCAATAACAGTAAATTTGTTTAATTAATTTTTTGAAAATATTTTTTGATGTTTTTTTTTTTTTATCAAAATAGAAATTCCCATATCTCTTACCCGGTGAACATGATAATACATCATCATCATCAATTGTTCATACTCATGGAATTAATCGAAATTTACCATCAAATATTTCTAAAGACATATTACAAAACAAATTTATTACAATACCTCGTATTTATCAACCAAAAGAACATGATTATGTTATTGGTATTGTTATTGTTCGTACACCTGATTTATTTCTTGTTGATATAAATAGTATTGAATCAGCTATATTACCAATGACATCATTTGATAATGGTCGTAGACCATCACGTGCAACAATGAATCGTTTAAGTGTTGTTTATGCTCATGTTGTACGTACAGATTCTTGGACACAAACAGAATTATCATGTCAATCAATAGATCGTTCAAAAAAAAAACATGATTTTGGTGTTATTGAACAAGGAAATATTCTTCGATGTTCATTAATATTATGTGAAAAATTACAACGATCACAATTAATAAATGAATTACATCGTATTATAAAAAATTTTCATATACGTATTACACGAAATGGTTTTATATGGTATTTAACTGATACAATTAATTCAATGATTGCTATAAAAAATGTTTTATATAAACATGAATTTGAAAATAATATTGATTCATTAATAAATTTTTATTATGAAATAATAGATAAACTTCAACAACAAGATGATAGTTTTATGAAAGTTAAACAACAACAACAACAAATAGTAAAAAAAGATATAGAAATAAAAAAACCTGAACAATCAAAAAATACTAATGCAGTTACACGTTTACTTAATCAAGTTATTCAAAGTATTCTTGATAAAATTATTAATGATATTGAAAATAATGAGAATAGATAATTATTTTATCTTAGTTCTTTCTTTCTTTTTTGATTGTAAATATTAACAAAAATTTGTTATTTAGACTTTCTATTTTCTTTTTTTTTTCTTTTGGATTAATTAATAAGATTGTCTTTTCGAAACATTTTAGATTTTCTATTCGTTTGAATTATGACTAGTGATTCGGATAATGAAATGGAAAATGGAATGGAAGAAGATATTGATAGTGAGTTAGATGATATCGAAGTAAGTTCAAATTAATTTATAATTAATCAACAAAATCAATCGTTCTCACAAGTATTTATTCGAAGAGAAATAGAATCATATTCACTTTGATATGATTTCATACGAGATAGTATCCTAAGCTTGAAATAAAACCCCAGTCATTATATAGGATTAGAACTTATAAAAAAAATTCAACAAAGAAGCTTTGGTTTCTCTTTGATTTTTTTTTCCGAAAGCTTGACTCTCAGTAGAATAACTTTGACTCATCACCAATACATCATGTTGTCTAATTCATTTGAATTATTGTATATCTTATATCATAAGATAATATTGTTTAAATTCAATTTTTTTTTTCATTTGAATATAAATTTTAAAATCTAAATGCTCGTTTCTTTTGTTTTAGCTTCAAAAAGCTTTTAAAGAAGGTCATCTTAAACCTGGTTTAAATGTCGAACAAAAATCTAAACGACCATTAATCAACAACAAAGTTAATAGATTTTCTTTTGTAAACAAATTTCATAGAAATATTTTTCTTTTAGGAAGCACTTACTGCTAAATATGCTGAAATCTATCTTGATTTACCTTGGATCGAACGACTCGATTGTACTAACACTCCATTACTTGTTAATGAAGTTAATTTACCTACAAATGATGATGAAACACTTGCTGATAATGATTTTAAACGCGAAATGCTTTTGTAAATTTATTAAACAAAAAAAAAAAAAAAATGCAATTAAAAATTCTTTTGTATTTTCTAGTTATCGTCAAGCTCAAGGAACTGTTCTTGAAGCTATTCCTCGTTTAAAAGCAGAAAAAATTTCAACTAAACGACCTGATGATTATTATGCACAAATGACCAAATCAGATGAACATATGAAAAAAGTCAAAATACATTTTGTAAAGTTTTAAAAATTGTTTTTCTTTTTTGGATTTTTAGATTCGAGAATATTTAGTTGATCGTAAATCTGATATTGAAAAACGTGAAAAATTACGTAAATTACGTGAACAAAGATTATATGGTAAAAAAGTTCAACAAGAAGTTTTACTTAAACGACAAGAAGATAAATCAAAATTACTTAAAACAATGAAAAAAGTTCGAAAAGGTAAAATATAAACTAAATAAAAAAAAAAAAAGAAAAATACAAGTTAGAAAATTTTATTTTATATAATTTAATATAGGAAAACAAGGTAGTATGCAAGAATTAGAAGAAACTCTTGGTGATCGAAAAAAAAATTTTGGAAAATCAAATGAAAATGATTATAAACGAAAGTAAATATTAAAGAAATTTTGAAAAAAAAATTTTCATAAATACAAATATTATTTTTATATAGTTCAAAAACAAATCGTAAAATTGAATATAAAAATAAAAAATTTGGTTTTGGTGGTCGAAAGAAAAATTCCAAGAAAAATACTGCCGATAGTTCAGCGGACGTATTTAATAAAAAATCTAATAAATGGCAACGTCCATCATTTCATGCACAAAAAGGCAAAAAGGTATAGTTTTGTATTATACATTTCTATTTTATTTTATTATGAATTTTCTTTTTTTTTTATAGGGCAAACAAAAATCATCTCGACCTGGTAAAGATGCTCGTCAAAAAGCACGAACAAAGAAATAATAAGAATTGTTATTGCTTTTTTGTTGTTGTTTTCTTTGTTTTTGTGTCCCTTTCAATAAACTTAAGGGATTTGCAAAAATAATCTTTGATCTTTTTTTGCTATATTAGTATATTAATATAAACAGTCAATAATTTTGATTATATCAACAACTGACTAAGAATTCAACAACACGAATTTATCTTCTATTCAACAGTATTGAAAATTAAAAAAAATGTATCATTCATCATAGGTTTGACATTTAAGTGAACCCGAAATTTTTAGTTTCTTTTAGTTAGACTCTAGTCTTTTGTAGTAAACTAGAGAAAACCAATAAAGTAAAGTGAAAATTAATCTCTTATTGTTTGTGATTATAACAGCATACGATATTTTTATTTTTTCTCTGTTTTTTATGCACTTCAACTACAAAAATAACCTATTCAAACTACATATAAAAAAACTTCTCGTTAGAAAAATTATTTACGTAAGAAAGACCTAAATTTATAGTCTTATCAGATCATACAAAATTTTACAAAATACTCATCCTAAGATTTTTCGAGAACTATACAACAGGGATTATGTGGGATGCATAGTGATATCTTATAGTAAGAAACATATTAAATCTCTCGATAAGATAACTGTACATTTTTGTAGAAATTATACAGGATGAATCTTACAATATCTGATTGTCAACGAGATCCTCTAAGATCTTATTCGATCTCTTTGTACCCAGGTCAAACAAGCAGACGGTAAGATCTTACATGGTCGTACGTCTGACCTTGGAAGATCAGACGAAAAATCGTGGTCTCAGAATTCTTACATCAAGTCGTACCTCAAGATTCTTGACAGATCTTGCTGTTCTATAAGATATTACTGTAAGATTATAGAAAATCTTATACTACGGTAAGTTCTTATAAGAATCTTATATTGCGATTTGATGTAAGATTTCTGAGACCACGATTGTTTGTACGATTTCACCTGATCGTACAAGACTTGATGTCTGATTTTTTTGACCTGGGTAGTTTTTTTCACCTAAGTATGAGTTTGGACCCATCGTTTTGCTGTTTGCGCATGCGTCATATGCTTTTTTTATTCTGTATCGTTCTTTCGACTTTCTCTATTGCATACTATAAAATGCATTCACGTAATAGATAAGAAGCATATTTTACTTGTCTTAGTTTCATGTGCGTTTTTCTCAACCGTAACACGCATCATTTCGAAGGAGAAAGAGTCGCAAGCAGTAATTATTATTTTAATACTGAATTGAAGGTAAGATGTTGAAAATGCAAAATTAACACTGAATTTTCTTTTTTTTTATATATGGTTAGATAGAGTATGACGAGCTAATCAAGAAAATGTTGCTTTTATTTTTTTTGAAATAAATTTTTAAGAAAACCATGTCATTTTTTACTAGTGATCTAGTTTTTCTCAAAAAAAAAACAAAGATCAGTTTATTTTTGTTTCACTCAAATTTCAGAACAGTTTATTCAGGTTTAAAGCAAAAAAATGAATCTAGGACAGGCATTTATAAATGACTTTCTAGATATAGTTTTTCACGGTAAATATAAAACAAACAGTTCTAAAATTTAAATGAAACAAAAACCTGTTGACTTCTTTTTTTTGAGAAAAAGTAGGTCACTAATAAAAAGTGAAATTGTTCTCTTAAAAACAGATTTCAATAAAATGAAAACACATACATTCTTGATCCACTCATCACGTTCTATCTAACCATATACAAAAAAATTTGCTTTCATTTTGCTTTTTTGACACCTTTGGTATGCAGACACAGATCTCCTATTGGTTTTTTTGTAGTTCAGGTACCTGATAAAATTCTATTCTAATATCGGGACGTTCGATTAGGAGCTTTTTTTTTTAAATATGATACATGTTACATTGTTTGTTTAAGTGAACTATGATCATAGAGAGACTTCTATTGTGTAGTTTTTTTGGTCTGAGGAAATCTACAAAATCTAGTTTCTTTGTTGCAAATCAATAGATCTTCGAAGATCATCGTCAATGATGAATCATATGTTGACAATTATCTTCTATGATTTGACTCGATCATCCGCGCAAGACATTCCTATGATTTTGTTGCCATGTTTAATCATAGTCTAGTAAATTTGCATATCAAGAGCTAAGAACTGAACACTGTATTTTAACTCAGTACTCAACCAATATTAGAGTCATTTCTTTTTGGAGTATCCCGATACAAAGAAAAAGTGATTATTTTCCCATCTTGCTGTCGTTTAAGAAAGATTCACAAAAGAACATGACTTTATCGTTTGAAATAAATTTTTTCTCTGTATTTCTACCGAATTAAATATTGACACTATAATACAATAAAATAATTTGAATTGTTTCAATCGTTACTTAACGTGCGAATGTTTCATCTACTGAAAACTCAGTGTTCAGATATCCAACGATCATATTCTCTCAAACTATAACATCGATTTGAAAGCAACTAATTGCAGGCAATTATAAGAAATGCTTTTATTTGGCCTTGGAAATATTGTTAAGTAAAGTTTTAATAACATCAGTGATTTTTGTTTAGTCATAGTTATGGCCAAATATAGAAACGCGTTGCCACAACTCTCCGATAAATTCTTCATTACTACTGGTGGCTTAGAGACTGCTCTTGTCTATCGTGAACATGTTGAACTTCCTTGCTTCGCTTCGTTCGATGTGTTGAGGACTGAAGCTGGATACGAATGGATGAAAAACTACCTCAGCATGTTTGCCAATGTTGCCCGAAAATATGACGTTGGATTAATTTTGGAAAGCCCAACATGGCGTGCCAGTCCAGATTGGATGCGAAAAATCGGTTATGCTGACCAAGATGTTGCAACTGTGAACCGCAAGGCTATTGAATTACTCTGCGACATTCGTAAGGAGTACGAAACTGAAAATTGTCCGATAGTTATTAATGCATGTGTTGGTCCACGTGGTGATGCATATAATCCTACCACAAAGATGTCAATTGAAGAAGCGCAAGCATATCATGCGACACAAATTGGTATTATCAGTCAAACCAATGCAGATATGATCACAGCTCTGGCAATTAACTATCCTGAAGAAGCTATCGGAATCGCAAAAGCTGCCAAGGCAGTTAGCATTCCTGTTGTGATATCGTTTATTGTTGGAGCAAATGGTAGATTACCGGCAGGACACACTCTAAAAGAAGCCATTGAGACGGTGGATAACGCTACTCAGAATTCACCCATTTATTACATGATCAACTGTACACATCCGAGCAATTTTGAACATGTTTTGATCCCTGGCGAAGCTTGGGTATCAAGAATTCATAGTGTCAAAGGCAATGCTTCGAAGAAAAGTCATGCTGAGCTCGAAAAAAGTAAAGAACTCGATTCAGGAAATCCAATCGAATTTGCTGAGAATAATCGAGCTCTATTATACAAACTCAAGAACTTGAATGTAATCGGCGGATGCTGTGGAACAGATTGTCGTCATGTCGAAGAAATTTGCAAGGTGTGTCTCAATACATTCAATCAAATGAAAAATTCCCGTCATAAAGAAATCGAATCAAAAACTTCAACAACAAATGACTATTTCAGCAAATTAGTAATCACTATTGACTAACAAGACAAAAAATATCTTTTCGATTATTTTTCTTTTTTGCTTACAAAAACACCTCAATATATGAAGTCCTCTGCTTTTAAAATCCTTGAGTGCTCATTTAGAGTTCAATCGAATAAGTTTTCGTAGAGTTCACTAAAAGCCTTTTTCAATAATAAATCAATTTAAAATATATGTAATGAATGTATTTTACACGTCGGTTTTGTATAGATGCTAACACATTACAATTATTTCTGATATGAGCTGTATAGTTTACCATGAAAACTCCTCATTAAATGGAACACAATTTAAGTTCTGAAGATATCTTTATATAAAAACTAGCGATTAGTGTTGGAGCCGATTCGGCACACATCGAGATTCACTTATGGAAAGGATCCTGTTGAATTTAGCGACTACATCTGAATCGAATAAGTAAATATACTATTTTAATAAAAGGAACAAAAGATAGAAATAGATTATACTGTAAACAGCCAATCATATCATTAGAAATAGGCCTGCAATCTATCTATTATAGTGAATTTGCAAAAAGTGATTTCTGCTTCAATAATATATTTCACCAGAATTTTTCATAAGAAGATCAATACCTAGATTATAATGACATGTAGGATTATTAGACAAAAATTTTTACTTGATTCAGTTTTGACCGTTGAACATGCGTATGACAATAGGTTTGAAAAAGGGAGCGTGATCGAATCAGAAAAGAGATTGCACAGCTTATATTCCATGAAAAGTTCTACAAAAATTTATATTAGAAAGATCTCGCTCTAAACTCTTTCAATTGAACTGGGATCTACATTAATAAGTCACTAGTCGCAATTCGGGATTATATTCCACTAGTAGTAAATTGGTTCCAACTTTCATAAAACGTGGCTAAAACATAACTTCCTATATGCCATTCGATACGTCTCTCACTGCTTTACAAGACAGTATATTTAGTTATTTGATTTAGATGTGGGTTACCAAATTCGATAAGATTCTTTCTTGGTCAAATCTACAAACATTTTCATTAGGTTATAATAATTCAGCTAAAATGATCTCATAAAATGTCAAATTATCATTGGAAAGAAAGTAAAGCATAGATCTATTCGTCAACCACACTCACACAGCAATTGCTTTTTGTAGTGATTATTGTTTATAAAGCAGAAATAAATCAAAACTCTTAAGATTAACACCAATATTCAGGATTTCAAGATAATCAACAAACAACATGCTATTAAGTCGAGGTTCTCTTCTATCGACTAACTCTTGTTCTGAGTGAAAGTATGGCTAATTAAAAAAGGCTTATACTTCAGTGTTTGATTAATATATCGTGACGGAGTGGACGACTATCCACTACGACACGGTATTGGTGAAAAAAAAAACATGCTCATGCTAGCAACTGATATTTATGCAAAGTTGAGTTGGCAATGCAGAAGCAATACATATGAATGCGCTACTGATTACACAAAACATATATCTATACATATTTTATATAATCTGAAGTGGTTATACACATGTAAATCTTGCATGCACGCACAAATGACTTTGCATGAAGCACTTATGCCAACGAATAAGTATATTGAGTCTGTATTCGTCTCATACTGTAAATACTATGTGTGTGTATGCGTACAAGAATATGAGTAAGAAAGAGTTATGAAAAACATACTGTTGGCCGTTGTGAAATATAAACATACAGGCAAAAATTAATGCGTACAAGACCCGAGCTGAATTTACAAAATTTGTACTTGCGATTACTCTGTTACTCTTATCATCTACTTGCATGCGGGCTTTATTTAAAACTCTAGCGTATGAGTGCGACTAAACTACCATAATCTATTTGTGCTTTGAAATATTGAACTATTGGATAAAAAT